CTCCTTGGGTGCCAGGGAGCATACTTACAAAGTTTCATCAATATTTACTAAAGTTATCGCTTGCCCGCATGAACGGACAGACAGACGGACAGCCAGTCACCCGAGTTTCAACTCGTCTCGTCACCCTGACCATGTATATTAGACCATTGCTATTCACTGTTATTTGGTACATGTGATCAAGTTAGTGCTGGCCATGTGAGCTGAAAATTTTCAGTTAAGATGGCACTTAAGGGTTTCAAATAAAGTCAGGTAATATTTTAACAATTGGCGTGGCACCACCCACATTTTGGTAAAATTTTAGGAACTAATCGACAAATTTCAATCAACTGTTGTGCGTAACATTATCTTAAAATTCGTACGTTACACTATGAAAATGAACGCAATCGTACTACAACCACGCCTACTCCCCATATATATTTATTACAATTTTCAATACAATATGATCATAATTTACCGTATCGGCTTATGTCGAATATGTCGGTCAGTGATTTATCTTCATAAAATTGCATTGAACATTTTTAATATCGTGCTGCTCAACAGAGGTAACACAACGCTATAAAATGTTAAAAAAACATTAACTGTTATGTAGTTAACAGCAGTAGAGCAATGAATGAATAGTGGATCATAATTTACAGCATAATTTAAGGCGTTTGAGAGCATCAAAAATGTTACCGCATGGCGCTCAGCTAAAACACTCACCCAATTAACTGTGCTTTATACAGATTCAGCTGCCACACTTGCTGCTTATTCTTGTGCGCCTTACAGCATGCCACAAGTTACTGGCTACGAATTTCCGCCTCAATAGCCAACACACATTTGTTAATTTTACTAAGGTTTCTTGCCTTGCTTTGTTTGCAACTATTCCTCACTTAAACACATGGATTTATACGTATCTATTTAAAAGCAATATATATGAGTGTGTGTGCGTGTATGCGCCAATATGTGTCACATATATTGGTGTTTAGGTGCGTGTGTGTATAGGAAATGTTTACCATCGTTTGGGTGTGTTAAAAGATTTTCTATTACTCGCTACTGTATTCATGGTTCTTGTTGTAGTTGTATTGTTGTTGTAGTGCAAATATTGTATTTGGTCTCTGCTTGCTGTCGACTTGTGTTCTATGTGTGACTGGGTCAACTTATACGTTTGATTTGACAACTGCCTGGCGCCACGCATCAACGTAGCAAAGCGACAGCATACATACAGACGATTAGCAACAATCGATTGAGTGTGCATGCGTGTGTGTGTGTGTGTGTTCGGAAATTAAAGATAAGGTCATTGGCTTAAAGAAAGTGGGAAGCAAGAATTAATGCTTACAAATGAGGATTTTAAATATTTTACTTTAATTATTTGTGTCATAAAATAATTCGAGAGCATAATGAATTAAGGTATTTAACTAAAGAGGCATTTTTTCGTTAATTTTTTTGAAGAAATATTTTATTCTTAAAAAAAAATAAATCACATTCACAGAATTAACTGTACTTTAAGAATCTGCAATTCATTTTGAAAACATTTAGACTCTCTTGAGCCCATAGCCGATCTTCAGGAAAACCTCCGAACAAAGGTATCTGGCAGTGAGAAAGATTTTCCTACTTACAATTAACTCAAATCCAAAAACCTAGTAAATTATCATTAAAATTTACACCTAAGATTTGCTTGACAAATATATCTAGAAGATCGTGTAAAAATTGCAAGACGATCGGTCTACACCTCTCGGGAAATTTTCCTCCGCATCTCTGCATATAGCGTTTCAAAAAAACGCGTTTAAAATGTTGTTCATACAAATACGCTGAGCAGCAAGAAATAAAAGTACCAATGAGCTTCCCTCGCTTCATATGTAATTCATGCATCACTCAAGTCATTATTAGTGAACAAATATAATTAATGACGTAATCAGCGTGGGACTTCAGCAAAGTGTGCAACAACAACTTTTACAAAAACAACAGCAACCACCCAGTAAATCTCACGCCCTCACTTGCACGTGATTTCCGTAAATAAAGCTAACACAAACAATTGTTTGAAACATACACATATGTATGTATGTATATGTGTGTTTGTAAAACACTTGGCAACAGCTAGGATATACCAAATCATTCCTGTCCAACTCAAATATAAATAATCATCATCTACTCCATCATATATTTTTCCTGTTCGTTGTACGCTTAAGTGGATGCGGCTTCGTCACGCACGCAATAACAACAACAATTAACTTCAACGCATAAAATCACACAAAAGTGGCAAAGAAAAGGGAAAATAAAAGATTTACTAAATACAAAAACAATTTGGACACGCCAATAAGTGAATAGACTAAAGTTAAGAATAAATGCGACGATTCAATGATAAGAAAGAATAATTGAGTACATCAAAAAAAAAGAAAAGTATTTCGAGCAGTAATTACTCAAACCAATTCTCTGTACTACATATACTTTTATGTTTGTAAATAAATATTTATGTGCAAATTTATATGCAATCATGTGTGTAAAAATTCGCACCGTGGCTAAACAATCAATACAAATTGCATTAGTTTATTGGCTCAGACGCATACATCAGCAGTAAAATAAATCAACATCAATTTGGTCGGTAAGTTAAAATGCTTGAGTTTGGCCTGCGAAATCTTCACGCATGGAAAATATGTTCAATGGTGCATAAGCAGTTTGGTAATAATTGGACTTTGATCTTTGCGATAAATAACGAAGTCCACAACTTTGAATATGAGTTTTGCTAAACACTAAGAAGTAATGATATACTACGATCATAATTCAGTAGGATGGGAACGCGTACATCATCTCACACAAGTCTATAAAAGTTATTATACAACTCTCCTAACAAATAGCTAAACAATTTTGGAAATTAAGCGTAAAACAAAAAAAAAATTTCTTTCTCTTTTTCTTCAGTGATTTCGTCTCTGATTATTATCCAAAATCTTCTCTAAGTTATACAAGGACATGATTTGATTGATCAGTTTGTACTGCCGCTTTATCCTTTAGCGGCCGAGCTTGGCTAAATCGACTCAGTTCGTCACGCTAATCTGGTCAGTGTGCTTTTTGATTACCTTCGGCCAGGACAACAACCCTTCCCTAGTTCAATGACCTCTGATGAGATCAATGAGCTTTGATCAATTCAACAACCCTGATCAATGGGGTCTCTATGTCAATGACTTATGAAAAGGGCAATAACGCTTTTGTTTAACTTTAGCCAGGACAACAACCCTATCTGTGATCAATGACTTTTTTTAGCCAGGTCAACAGCCTTTCTCGGGGTCAATGACCTTCGAAGAGATAACTGATTCGTTTGTTTAACAACCTTTACTGAGGTCACTGACCTTTTTGGGTGCCTTTAGTGTGCAAAATTTCAGATCCGTATCTCAAAAACTGATGACGGACGGACAGACAGACGGAGGAGCAGACAGATGGATGGGCACACAGACGGACATGGCTATATCGACTCAGCTCGCCAGGCTAATCTGAATACTAGGAGGAGGTATGGACCCATTACACCAAGTTATACAAGAAATTTTAAAAACTATGAGGACATGCTAAATTTTGTTTCAATATATTTATTGATACTTTAGTTCGTCATTATTATACAATACAAGCAATTGCGATCAAAATGTCTTTTTCTTGGAATACAGACATTTTGTCAATTTTTATTAATTAGATTTATTTCATTGAGTTATTTGTGTTAAAACTTTCAAGAAGGTGGCAGCACTCTTCAAAAATATTGTTCCATAATAGCATACATATGGTATATTTAAGTTGATACCTATACATATGTACATATGGTATACTTGTATGTAACGTATATTGTAAAGTTTCATTCATTTTACTAAATTTAATAAAAAATATCCAAGCGGTTGGCAATCTTTACTTAAAATATTTCATATAGCCTACCTTAAACTCTCACAAACTTCTTCAATTTCTTCATTTTGTACATTCAGTAATTTAAATTGGAGGTTTGCCTATAAATTTCATCCACGTGGCAACCCTTTTAAACCTATTTTAAATTATATGCTTTCTTGAACTTTTAAACATTGACAACCCTAATTTCAGTAATTCACTTATCTTTATAAAATACGTAAATTAAAAATTTTAAACGAATGGCAACAGTCTTTAAAATTATTTTCAAATTTTAGTTTTATTAAAGCTTTTCAGTTTAATACCCATATTGAGCTGCTTTTGTTTTAAAAATATTTTTAGCTACAAATTTCAACTAAGTGGCAGCCCTTCAATAATAGATGTTGTTTAGATCGACACTCTAATTGTAATATTTCAATTCTCAACATAATATCTTTAATAAACACTTTAGAAGATTGGCAACACGATTCAATCGTTAGCTTTATTAAATCTTTTCAGTTTAATATCCATATTATGGCGTTTTTGTTTCAAAAATAATTTTCACTTAAATTTTTCAAATAAGTGTCAACCTTTTTGTTTTACTGCCTAAATAAGTTACTCTTCATTATGTTAAACATATACTTTAAATTATTATTTGTCTAAATAATAATTCCTTGATAACTTCAATACACCTCATGTATTTAGAATTGTTTGCTATTCATTTGAACTTTTTGCAGGCTCAAAATATGCCACAGAACAATAATTATTTAGTTTTCAATACGCCAATCATTCAAATTAAAGTTATCAAAGAAATTGGGCAAGTAGGTACTCCATACCAACCCAACAAAGCGAACAAAATTCTGGCAAAACACTTTTCCCTAAACACTTCAATCACAACTGTTACAAATTTGCATGCACAAACATGCATAGTGCTGCTGCACTCCTACATAAATATTCAATGAAAGTGCACAACAAACATTTCACAACAAAAGCAAACAAATCGAGTGCAAGTGAGACTCCAATTACGGCTCACTGTCGTTTGGAGTAGCCGAGTGGCCGAGCACCCTCCAATGCGCAATTTGCTGTGCACAAAACGCAGCAGAAATTCTTTACAAATGCAAATCAACACAATGCACTTTTTGGTAGTTCGATCATTAGCAAAAACTCACCTGTATTTGTTCGCTTATAGGCAAAATTTCCCGGCACTTATTTTTACAATATTCAGGACACATTTTGTACAAATAACAATAAAATTTCACTATTTACTACACAATACACTATTTACACTCACGACGCGCACAAACACCGAACCGAACGAATTACGACTGCGCGTTTAACTAGCAAACGATGCTCTCGCCGACGAGCAGCGAAAATAACAAACAAACAATGCTGTCAGGTGGACTTTCATTTATGCCCACCACTTTTCTTGTATGTGCAGTGTTGCAAATACTTATTGAAAAGTGAGTGTGGCCTATATTCGTTGAAAGGCGAATGCATAGGAAATTAATAAAGGAACTGAAAGGAAATGGGTAAGTGTTAGAAAAACTTTGAAGTGGTAATATCGTTTATGCTATTGTAAATAGGATGTTTCATGTTATATAAATAATTATATAAGAAAATGCATTTATTTAAATTGCTAGAAAAACATTATTTTATTATTAAATTTTATCAGTCGTATACAATTCTTAAACAATTTGATTGCACAAAGTTAAAAGTGAGCTAGAACATAACACAGCTACGTTCATTTACATAACGCATTTAGTTTGTTCGCTGGAAAACGGTATGGATTATATGATACATATAACACAGTTTTAAAATTCTAAATGATTCTTTCACTTATCAGTCACAGTTATCAATCAAGCACCAATGAAGATATCGGTATAAGGCTTTACACAAATGTGCCTTTCACATATGCTATCCAACGTGTAAAAATTGTCCAAATCAAGCCAACACTTTTCAAGCTCCCAGATACTGATTTGAGTTTATTAGTTTGATTTTATTTTTAAGATCTCGGACACAAAAAAAATACCTAGTGGTGAAACTAAGTGTGTCTCTGGCCTTCTATATAAGCTAACAAGATACCAAATTTAATTTTAAACCCTCACGATTTGGCCGAATAATTAATTTTGAAGTCATTAGCAAAATTTTTTTAAATAAACGTTTGCAACACCTGAAAATATTTTCGTAGGCTTTAAGCTTTGAAAATTCCGCTTGCTTACTTGTTTTTTTTTTCATTTATCTAAATTATAATGCTGTTTAGCTAGCTAATGGTGAGTATAATCCCCTATTTTTATGTAAACGCTTAAATTAAGTTCAAGAATTTGTTATTTGTTCTTTTGGTTTCGTAATATTAAAGATCTTGTCGCATGAACTTTAAGAGAAAGAATAAAAATAAAACTGTATATTTAATCTATGCTAAATAAAAGCTCACTTCCAGTTTCACGAGTTTATGCAGTAAGAAAATAGCTTGACAGAAAAACAAAATAAAAGTTTTTAAAGCTTCTTTCCGTAACTATCGAAATATCGTCAAGTTATTGCACTTTAATGTCTTTCTCGCTTTTTTTCTGGCTCATGAACTTTGACATTGAGAACTTTAGCTTGAAAGAAAGGTAAATGGGCTATGTTTTATCAAAAATAATTTAAATTTGAAAATAGTTTGAATTTCAAGAATGACACAAAACTTTTACATCGATGAATTTAAAGTTACTACGCTTGTAACTATTGCGTACTTCAGCAAAAATTAGCAATTTTCATAAATATTTTTGTTGTAAAACCGCAAAGCAAAATATCCGATCACAGTTACCGTGTCACAACTTACATCATTATGCTTTTTATTATTGTACTGATTTAAGAAAGCTGTTGCGTTGCTTGTTATAGTCTCAATAAAGTTTTTTCTTGCCTACTGGTACTCTCGGCTCCTTCATTTTAAACTAACACAAGATTTTGCTTTCCCAGTTCTCTTATAATAATTTCAAAATATATACACCAGGCTTCCCTTAATTTCATACCTTCAAAGCCAACGTACATAAGAAGCTTCTTATTGTGCTCTTTTCGAAAATACCACTTAAACCACTGCAATCGTGTATACTCAAGGCTAATGGGGTGTCACATAGCAATTTAAAGGGATTTGCACTCTCAAGTGTTTGTATGTGGGCGCTCACATGTTTGGCTATAAACACGTATCGAAACAAGCAAAACAAAGCACAAACATATTTTATATAATATATGATGTGCCAACAAATGCGTACACATGTACATTTGTACATATATGTAGAAGACCTTCCACAATATCTTTTAAAGTCTGCTAGTATACATAGTTGTATTTCTATCCATTTATAAATACATACGTAAAAATGTGCTCATACCATATCTTTATATTTATCCGTCCATATGCAATGCATCGTAGTCGGCTGCTTGTGGCACGTGCTGACCGTAGTTGCAGCTGCTGCTACTACAACTACTTCACACTCTAGTTTTACCGTTATACGCCAAATATTGTTATTGTTACATTTTTTACATCAGTTGAATTGGATTTTATGTTTTGTAAAGTTTTTGCACTATTTTTTTCTTTGTTTTTTTTTATTTCTTATGCCTTTGCTTACCGCAAGCACGTCAAATACTAAGCGCTAACCTCAAAATAACAAAAAGCACCATACTTGTATAACAAATAATACTCAGCCGAAGGCGTATGCCCATGAAGTACTTTGATAAAGTAAATGAAGCTCAAGGTTGCCAAGCTATGACTCAAAACATATAAGTTACATTTTTTATGGTAATAGAAGGAACTGTTATCGAAGCATACATCAAAGATGGACAGTAGCAAAAAGAAAGTACCATATATTGTACAGTTATTCGTAAATAAAGACGTAAACGATAGCCAAACGGTGGAAAATGTGAACAACACTTAAGGTCCTGAAACTGATTTCGCTGATTTCAAACCCGTAATTTTGTCAAAAATTACAATAAAATAATGAAAGTCGGCGAGTTCGACTGTCACGTAAGTATTATTTCGAGTGTCGAGGAGCTAAATATTGCGCAAAAAGCCGTTTGGAACCATTTCAGTAGAGCTGGCTTTCCATCTGCGAAGCACAACAAACTCGATCCATTTCTGAAACGGATGGTTACAGGTGCCGAAAAGCGGGTCACTTATGCCAACCTCAAGCAAAAATAGTTATGGTCGAATTGCAGTGAGCTAGGGCAAACCATGACCAAGCCAAGATTAGTAGTAAGAAAGGGTTTGCAGTGTATTTGGTGGGAATGGCAGAGAATCATTTACTACAAGCTCCTCACCTATGGCCCATACTCTACAATCGGATTCGTACTGTTAACAATTGGACCGTCTAAAGTAAGCAATCGCCCGAAAGTAACAAAAAACGGCCAATAGGAGAGGAATTATGCTCTATCAGGACAACGCCATACCATACACATCAATTGTGACTCGTCATAAATACCCGCAGCTTGGTTGGAAGATCTTTATGCATGCACCTTATAGTCCGGACCTGGCACCAAGTGATTACTACCTATTTCTATCTATGGCCTACGTCTATCTAATAATTTTGATTATAAAAAATTCGCCTCAAGAGAAGCTTGTGAAAAATGACTGTCCCAGTTTTTTGCCAGTAAGGACGAGGCTTTCTATGAGAGTGGCACTATGAAATTACATGTTGTTGAACAAAACAGTGCATATTTGACCTAAATAGGATCGTTCTAACTATGCTCATCTCAAACCCCTCTATTGAATTCAAAAATAATGGATTTCTTTTTACTCGACCTTATACAATAATATGTAAATTTTAGTGGCAACTCTAACTCTGCATATCCCAGACAGCCTTTATGTTATAGTTCACCAAAACACATAAGCTTCATTTTGTTTTTTATTATTTTTTATACATACAAATGCATAGTTTTAGACATTAGTCAGTAAGTACGTGCCCATACTCCATTACAAAGCGATTGTATAATATCTGGCACATACATAAATACAAGTATATGTATATACTCGTACGTATATGAATTTAAAGGTAAATACAATCCAAGGACTCCTAGTAAATATATTTATCGTATAAATTGTACAATTTTTAACTTATAAGTAAAGACTAGAAAACAATATGGCCAAACAATTACTCTTTTCAATCTCAGTTTAAGTGGTTAGCCTACATTAAGTAATCGCAAATGAAATTAAATTACAACAATAATACTCTTAATGTGACAGGCACTTATGAATTGCATAAAAATTCACAAAAATCTAAAAATACTTTAAGTTTGCAATGCAATTAGCACAAGCATTACGCTATAAATAGAATACCGTTAGAAAGTAAAATATTAAAGTTTAGATTATAAGCTCCCATTTCCTGCTAAGGAACATGACATCTGTTTAGAAGGATGTCATAGCAACGGTGCCTACCGCCGTACGCCCCGAGTGTAATAGACCATAGAAAGCGCCATCTTTTCGCAGCAGCAGCTCAGCCGGTGTGCCGTCTTCAATAATGCGACCCTGTTCTAAAACAATAATGCGATCGTAATCAAGTATTGTGGAGAGACGGTGCTAAAATGATGAGGAAAATATGAAGAAATTTTAAATAAGCTATTGACAGGAAATAATTTTCTACACACCGCAATTGTTACAATCGTCCGACCGCGGAAAGAGTTATGTGCCGCTGTGAGAAGCGCCTGCTCAGCGGCGCTATCCAAAGAGCTAGTCGCTTCGTCCAGTATTAAACAAACCGAGCCGCGCAAGAGAATGCGCGCCAAGCAGAGTAACTGGCGTTGACCGCCGCTCAATTGTACGCCACCATCACCCACAATGGTATCTGCTTGTACAATAAAATTAAGGGTTATAATATGGTTTACTTAAATTAAAATTACTATTAACTACGCACCTATGTTGTTGGGCAACTGATTGACAAAACTAGTCAATCCCACCTTCTCCAGCGCATCCCACAGCTCGGAGATGGCATAGTAGGCTGTTGGATTGAGATTCTCACGTATGCTCAAATTGAAGACATGCACGTCCTGTGGTATCATTGATACACGCATGCGCACTTCGTCCGGGTGGATTTTCGTTATATCCACATCGTCGATGGAAATGCAACCAGCTGTCGTTTGTAACACACCCAGCAGGGACATGGCTAATGAAGATTTGCCACTACCTGTGCGTCCACAAATACCAATCTACGGGAAGGAGTATAGGAAATATAGTATAGAAAAGAACATATAATATATAAACAAAGTAAAAATAAATAAAAATTTCTTATTATAACAATTAAATTTAGATTTTAAAAATTTCCTCAATATTTATCGATATTTTATAGATACATAAATCAATTGTCTCCGATAATTTTATATTTCTTTGCTAATATATTTCTATAATTTTTTTTTTGTAGATATATAAATTTGCTCTGCATACATAA